TGTTAATTTCGGCATGTTTCAGTTTACAAACGGCGCCCCATACTGTTCTGTGTCTTGTGTACTGTTTGTTTGTATATGTGTCTTTCTTGCTGCTGTTACACCCAAATTTCCCCTTGTGGGACAATTAAAGGATTATTCTATTCAATTCTACCCTGCCTCCCGCCCTGAGACAGCTGGGCTGAAATAGCTGTCATCTCAATGTTCAGCACTAACCTGTCATAATCTAAATTACGTTTAAGTAACAGAAGTAGTAGCAGTACAACACATTTAACAACAGGAGGCATCATCGTGACGCCAACCTGAGACAACAGCCATAATGGAAAAGACAAATTCAGAGAGTTAATTTTCTTCTAATTTCTCGTGTAATTGTAAGTAAGATTTGACAAAACAAGTGTTTAAGATTACTAAAATTAAAATTCATTGTGGTAATATAAAGAACCAAAATTAGATCAAGGTTGTCCAAATATTTATGGAAGTAACTGTAGTTCCAGCTTTATGTAAATATTTCCACCTGCAAATAACTCCACTCGCAAAACTTCAATGATTATGTATTTTTAAATTTTTCTTCTTTAAATTAGTCTATATGTTGGCCAACAAAATGGACAAACAGTGAATTTGTTTTTAAATTGAGACTGTGTGTTTATTGATTCTGTCTTCAGACTAAAATCTTTGTCTCACTGGAAATAGAAAATGTAGAACTTAAAAAAGGTTTATATTTGTTACATTTTCATAAAGGTTTTTTTTCTCCAAAGTTTTCAGCCCCCTGAGTTGCTCTGTCCCAATCATTCACCTCTGACTCTCAGTCTTGCCCCACGGCCTGGCCAGCCCCTAAAACGAGTGGCCCTCCTCTCTAGCCCTGTGGCTGTGTCAACACCCTAAATTGTCTCTTAGCTTTTTTTGTGCTCCCTGTTTTTATTTTTATTTTGCGTTCATGGTCCTGATGGCCTCTAAGAAAAATTACTTGTCCACACCTGGTTTAGTGTGGTTCTTTTTTGTTATGATTTGGTAATTTTTTGTTCATATTTTGGATGATATTTCAGCGATGACAAGATTTGAATGAATGTGGGAAAAAAGTATCCTGGGAGGGATGGTATACTTATCACATACACGTCAATAATAAATGGACACCTCCATCTGCTGAGGGAAGTTCATTTGTCTTAACTGAAAGCTCTTCAACAGGTACTGGCTGTATCTCATGGTGAGATTGTTTCATCAAATGTTTAGATTATTTAAAATAAGACCTCTTGTATTCTTTGAGTTGTATTGAGTTTAATTTCAAATATGTTAATGAAAGTCTTCTTTGCTTACCTGATTGTTCATATTTAGCAAATCATAGATCATATTGATACCATCTAGTATGAAACTGAGGTTAAAGGTCAGGATAAATTTTGAAACAACTGTTCCACTTTGATACCTCTTGACTTTCTTTAAAAAAATAATAATAAAAAAAACCTTCCCCCTCTGTGTGTGTGTGTGTGTGTGTGTGTGTGTGTGTGTGTGTGTGTGTGTCCTCAGTGAACTGTATCAGTCTCTGCAGTATCTTCCAGCTGCAGCAATCAGTTCAGTTTCTGACTGAGGGAGGTTTTTGTACGACTGTTTTTCACTGTGTGAACACAAGCTGACTGTTGATGTAGTGATAACTCTGACAGTAATAAACTGCTGCATCTTCAGCCTGGACTCCACTGATGGTCAGAGTGAAGTCAGAGTTTGATCCACTGCCTGTAAAACGAGCTGGAATCCCTGATTCTAGAGTGTCAGCATCATAAATGAGCAGTTTAGGAACTCCTCCATCTTTCTGTTGGTACCAGGCTAACAAGCTAGAGCCATAAACATCCTCACTGACTTTACACTTGATGCTCACAGTTGTTCCCACAGCAGAGCTCACTGCTCCAGGCTGAGTCACTGTGATCTGTCCTCTGGACTCTGAGGACACAGAGACAAAAACATAAAGCAGCTTCATGGTTTTGTGGGCTTCATTTCAGAGGGACAGATGTTGATAGAGGAGAGGAGTTTGATTCTCTGGACTTTACCTGTGAAGCAGCAGCAGAGGAGAGTCCAGATGAGGACGCAGATCAAAGTCATGTTTTTGATGAGGAGGATTTCTGTGGCTTCTGTTGTGATGAAGGACAGCTGTCAGTCATCCAGTGTTCAACTCTCAGGACTATAAACTCTCCCAGAGCACTGGAGCATGGTGCTGCTGATGCAAAGTGCCTCTATGGAAATCATCTGACTTTAGCTGTTTATCAATGGATCAAATGGTATGTTTGGAATTTCTGCTGTGTACAATGACTATAAGCAGCATTATTTATTTAATTTTTGTAGTTTTCAAAAACTAAAAACAATATTGTAAAATCTATTGCATTTTTTTTACTAATTTAAATACAAAGGAATATCTCGTATTGTAAACGTTTAATATTAATGGTTTCTCTTTCTCATATCAGGCAAGATGAGATCAGCTTTCCTGGAAATTTTATCTTAATCTTTACCTCTTTACAACTAGAAATGGACACTCATCCTTTTCATAACTCCATGTATAATTTTGAGTTTTTCCTTACCTTTCTTATAGACTCCTGCATTTTAACTTGAGGGTATATTTTTTTATGATTAGGGGGGATTGTTTTTACACTTGATGGTGGAAATACCTGACAGCAGTGTAAGATCTATTAAAGGTTTTTTGATACTGTACATTGCATATACTTTGTACACTACAGACAGTATTATAGGATGTGTTGTGGTTGACTAGGTGAGTGGGTTGGTGAACTGTCTTGTTTTTATTTTTCTGTGTAGTTTGTTTTTCATTTCTATTTTTCTTGTGGCTTGTGTGCATTTTTTCTATTTTTTTATTATATTTTTTTTATTTATTTGTTTATTTATTTCTTCTTTATCTACAGTCATTTGTTTCCAGGAAACACGCACTGTTTTTCTGGTCATGTTACTGAAAAATGTTACTGGTCATGTGACCATTCACAGGTCATTTAAGAAGGCACTGCTTGGTGTTTCATTGTGTGATAAAGAGCAGGTGTGCTTAAATGAATTTGGAGTTCTGCAGTGTGGGAATCCTGTATTCGTTTTTCTTTGTCTCATGTTTCTGGCTCTAAACCTTCCCCGCAGGATGAGGAGGATGTGCGTAGATTCCTTTTTGTTCTGTTTGTCTTTCTGCTTTTATATTACAGAGGATGAGATCAGCTTTGCTGGAAATTATATCTCAGTCTTTTTTTCTTTCTGTTTCTATAATATTTAAACAGCTTATGGTGTACATTGGATACTGTCACAGTCCGGGTTGGCTACTGGAAAATTCCACTGAGTCCATGTTCTCCTGTTCCTCTCCCGGGGCGGAGCTGTCATCACGTCACCTGAAGCTAATCATACTGTATTGCAACACACAGTCTACCACTGGGACTTCAAATTTATTTGTAAAATTTAAAGCCATTGAAGCGACGTTAAGGATAAAGATGATTTTTTTTAATGGGTTTTTTTTAGTTCTTATTTGTTTTTCACTGGCAGGAGAAAGCACTCCCTGGAGAACAGAAACAACATCCAAGGCCTCCCTGAGTTTGAAGCTCAGATGTAACCAGAGGTGGCAAAAGTACAGATACTACTGTTAAAAAATACTTCAATAAAAGCTGACGTACTCATTCAACTTCTTTACTCAAGCAGAAGTAAAAAAGTACAGTCTCTGAAATGTACTCAAAGTAAGGAAATAAAATAAGCTCGTTGGAGAACATTTTTATTTTTGTGGAGAGTTAAATGAACTTTGTGCTATATTAACACAATAATAAAATAAAATCAGTAGATGGGAATGCAAACTTTAATCTATTCTTTAGAATTATAATTATACTTGAAAATATGCTTGAGTCAGAAGGAAAAGAATGGAAAAATAGCTCTATTTTCTGGTTCCTATATTGTAGATGGTGATTTTTCGTGAAACCTGTACAATCAGGGGTTAAAGTGGATTCAGCAGGTGGGGAAACCCTACAATTGGTTGTAATGACTCTGAGGAAAAGGGTTGTGTAACATGTAAGTTTTAAATGAGCAGTCCTTACCTTTAAATCTAACCTCTCTTCTTCCTCTCATGTCCTGTCTTTCTTATCTTTCTCCATCTCTGAGTGAAGTTAGCTCTTTCTTTTCTCTCCCTGTGAAACTTTGCTGGAACTTTAACTACCAACACACTGTGAGAAAAACTGCACACAAATAGTTTGTGTGTTGTCTTATGTTTGTTAAGCTGATAGAAACACTGGATTTGAAATGACCTGACACATTAAAAACTCCCTTTGTGCTCGCTTGTCTCCAGTAGGGTTACCTAGATGCTGAAGTACAACAACCACAACTAAGAAAGGAAATCAATTAAAAAACACTGTCCTACTTTTAATCCCTGACTTTGGCACAAGTCATCTCTTTTTCTGTGACACCCCCTTGCGATTAATACATGAACAGGATCGCCTTTCATGTGTTACTGATTAGGCATAATTGGTTTGATGTGTGTGTGTGAAGGTAGTAGTTTTATTTGTTGTAGCTTCCATTATGTATGACTGCGACGGCTTCCTCTGTTGGCAGTAACAGAAACAGTAAAAGATCAGAATGAGTTTCTGTAACCTTTATTTGACTAATGATGACACACTTCCCTGATTTCTTTTGTGAAAGCCAGATGTTAGAAAAAAATGAAACACAACAGGAGATATAAACAGACTCTCACTAACTTACAGAGTCACCAGTGAGTGGCTCTGAAAGGCCTGGACAGCCACTGATCAACACTGGCCTCTTAACAGCTGTGAGCAGAGAGGCAGGACACATATGCAAACACACAGAGTCAGTCAGCTGCAGCTGTTTACAGCTCAGAGCTGACAGCATCACAATATATATTTATATTATTTACAAAATAATATTTTGATTAGATTAACCAATGAGCTCAAGGATTAAGATGAGAGATAAAGATAAAGTGGACTAATTCATCTAATTGTATTTTTTTATGTGATTGACCTTTGACCTTTGAATTTGGGCATTTATTTTAAACAATGTCAAACGAGAAGTCAGCGTTTGTGTTTTTATCTTTAGTACTGAAACCTTCTGTTGCCATGGTTACTGAGCTCATGTGGAAATGAAAGATCAGCAGAGTTGAAACTTCTTCTACTGAAATCCACAGCTGGCAGTCCTTCTCTGAGCAGTGGTTGGAGCTGCAGAAGGTGAAGGTCATGCTCGTGTCTGACCAACAAGTTCTTCTCCTCAGACTGGAGCAGTAATAAACTGCTGCATCTTCAGCCTGGACTCCACCGATGGTCAGAGTGAAGTCAGAGTTTGATCCACTGCCTGTAAAACGATCTGGAATCCCTGATTGTCGAGTGGAACTCCTCCATCTTTCTGCTGGTACCAGAACATATAGTTGTTGTTAAGAACATCCTGACTGGTCCTACACTTGATGGTCACAGATCCTCCCACAGCAGAGCTCACTGCTCCAGGCTGAGTCACTGTGATCTGTCCTCTGACTCACACAGAGATCTATTAGTTATATTTATTTTCCTCTTTGAAATATGTTGATTCCAGCTTTTTTGACAAAATTCTAAAACTGCTGATATTTGAAGATTTTTTGCAGTTAAATCACAAATTTTTACCTTGACAAAAATATCAAATATTCTGCAGTTTTTTCTTCCAGATTATAGATTTGAAAATGTGTTATATTGCTTCTGTTTTAATTTTCTTACATATCATACAAAAACAATATGAACAGTCAATTATTTAGTTGAGTTTGTTTGTTTCAGAGTCAGAGAGACGTGTCTCTCTACAGTCGAGGTTTTTGTATGACGGCTGAGTTTGTATGACTGTGGTTCACGTTTGGTGGAGGAACCAGAATGTAAAACTTACATCCAACATCCAGAGTAACAGCTGCTTTATATATTTTTACTGTTAAGTTATTTTCACTTCAGAAAAATAGACCCAAATATTTAAACTGACATATCTAATCTCTGTAAGCCGCCCACAGCCCTACAACATGTAACTACAACAGTTACATGTGCTGGCATTATAACTTACCAGTATACAGTGCTGAGGTCACACAAACATGTTTTCTGAAATATTGTTTTCCTTCTTCCAGCTGCTACCTGAGCCTTGTTGATGGTTCTAAGCTTTGTGCACAAAAATCAGTCCACTCCATAAAATGCTTTGTGTTGATCACATTGAATGTGGACAAAGCCACGGAGATGATCGTCGACTTCACAAAGACTCGCACCACCCACACACCACTCAGCATCCACGGTTCCACGGTAGAGATTGTCAACAGCACCAAGTTCCTGGGAGTTCACATCAGTCCTGCGTTGAAAGTCCTACTTTCCTCATCCCCACGGCAGACCGTGACATATTTACAGTCTGTAAACCCTATGTAACTCTGCTAAGTGTTGATAGAAAAAGAATGCACCCTCAGTATACACACACACACGCACACACAAATATACTAAGCTCTTTGCATTTTCAAGCATTCACATCAAAATCTTCAGCGTGCTTAGCAGAGCTCTTTTGGCACAAATCCTCAGGACAATTAACAGTTTTTCCACACAGATCACCATTCTTTCAGCTCAGTTTTTTAGCATCATTCACACAATACTTTCATCAGCATTTTGCACACTTCCTTAAAAGTTAATCGTCTCACACACACACACAACACACCCTTTTTTCTCAAAACAATGCGCACCTTTAATCATTCATCCAAATAACAATTTTACACTTCATTTATACATTCACACATTTATAAAGACACCGACTGCCAAGATAAATTATTTTCCTTTCCATATCACAACTTCACATCATCTTCCTTTAGTACTAGTCATCCTACCATTTTGACTTAATTTAAAAGCCTCTAAGCCCAGGTTCGCCCACCTTGCTGGTCAATTCACCCTTCTCTGTCCGGGACAAAGGGGCCAGATTTTTATGTCCTATGTTAATTTAAAAGCGCTCCCTGTAGCTTGAACAATAACTCCACTTAACTAGCGTCCAGTATTTAACTGCCGCCTGAAGCTTTACTTAAAGTTTTACCGGTCAGTCCACGTTGAAGTGGTCACGCCTGAAGCTCCGCTTCTTCAACCAAACAGCGCACTAAAGTGGTCCCTGACCACTGACCATTGACCAAGGTCCCAAGTTTTGGCAGTGTGGTCAACAGAGATACCCTGACGCCACAGGACC